AAATAACAAACAAACTATATATCTATCTATCCATCCATCTATCTAGCTAGTTAGCTATATATATATATATATATATATAAAACTGACTAACTATCTATCTATCTATTTATCTATCCATCTAATATTAATGCATTTACGTCCTGTTTGGACGTATCTAATTTTGGGCTGTCCTGGATTATGCTGTGGAGAACCTCTTCACCTCGCGCCACGACACTTTAGGCATATTTCGGTCGTCAATGCCATTTGAGAAGTCACTATCGAAGATGGGCATCAGCAAATTGCACGATTAGGGCTACTCTTCACAGGCAAGTAGGCGATCTGACGGCAAGCCTTATTGGTGGAAGAGAACAGAAGGGCAGTTCTGTCGAGGATGGGCTGAAAGCAAGGCCCAGAGACTTCCGCCAGAGCCTGGAATCGTGCTAGTGACGTTGCGTAGTTATGGTCCAACGATGAACCACTTGAATGAAGCATATGACCCCGGATTGCGAATATCGCAAATGAAGATTCAGAGGCATATCGGTAGTTGGGAAGATCGTGAAGCTGACGCCACATACAGAACCTCCCTTACAAGTGAATTGGCTCAAGAAGCCTTCCATTTATGAGTGTCGACAAGCCTCGATCTCAATTGCTTTTGTGCCTGGGCTCTTACATCCAGTCAGAATGCATGCCGATTTGGAATGTTCCAGATCGAGTATATTGCTCTCTGATCGGATTGCAGGCAGCAGCGAGTGTGAAAGAAGATGCTAATGAGAGTCGCCAAGTCGATCCCACCAAACGACAAATGTCCTTTGTCCAGATGTGGTGTGGTTTTACCGCAGCCTTATATCGGCTGAGCTGAAAATGTGCCACGATTTCATTTGTCCTGCCATGCTGAAGAAGTATACATCAGAGCGGGGTACCAGTTTAAACGCCATTTCAAGCCAACGAATCAAGACGACTCACCGGCACTCCACACATGTTCCCTCGGTCTATATTCCAACCATATGCATTTCTTAAGATATAGTTAGTTCATGGCATTTGTCATTCTCAAAATCGGTGAACGCGAAACCATCTTCCTTCGCAAAAGAGCGTCGCCTATTGATAGATCTAAACAAGGGTCTATATGCTTGTTCATATATCTAGCTATATG